CCCTACCTCCCGCCACGGAGCGGACAAGCGCGTAGACATGCTAGAACTATGGGGGGGCACTGGCGGCAAATCACAATTCGCCTTCAAGAGAAAGCTTACCTCTGGAGGCGACCTGGACAGACGTGCCAACGTTAACCAGGGTAACTCACATGCACAGCAGGCCGTGGAAAATTATTTGCATGAATGCTGTTCACACCATAGTGATTTTTCAACTCAACTGTAGGACCACAGGTTTGCCTTCGCACTTTAACTCCTAGGTAAACTACGACACGCGGCACAAACGCCACGGATAATACCGCCCCCGCATCACCTTTTGTGGGGGGGTAACCGTCATGTAAGACGACCTTCAAGCAGGTTTATTCGGGGGCGGCCGGTTGGCGTCTGGGTGGATGAGATTGCCCCCCCTGGACGACGCAAATCAAACGCATTTCCATTTGCAAGCAAATAACATAGCAGTGCTCGACAGGCTGCATGACTCATATGGCACTCTCAGCAAGAAACCTACAGAGATGATGGCAAATCATCGTGCTATTCTCAAACCATTCGAACACAAATTACGTTCTGTTAATCATGAGCACGCCCAAGCGCACGACCGAGAACTGGCACGGGCCGCCAAGTGCACTTCACGGATGCAATCACTGATCGTGGACTCAGCACATATTGCAAGATCATTTTATGCACGAGGCCACAACCCCTTTGCCGACAGGCACTACACAGATACCCTGGTGGTCAACAGCGCCAGATTCGATCTCGATGACCCTGCGATACTTCGGGAAGGAACGGACCCGTCAAACGACCGCCGTCGGGAGGACTTGGCTGTCCGGCTTTCGTCGACAATATTCCAATGAACTCACCAAGTCGCAGCCGAAACCCACGTCAATGCCGTTGGGGCGACAAGGGCCCCAATCACTGGGCATGCTCGAGTTGCCGAAGGGAGTATTGCAAAAACAAGCGTGGCCACCTGCTCGCGCCAGGTAAGCGTAGGTTTGCCCAACCGTGGCAAAAGCCAGACAACCATGGACAAGCCCAACCGGCTGCGCCAGCGCCGGCGGAAGGGGCGCCTGCACCTGCTGCTGCCGCGCCAGCAGCAGTGCCAGACGATTTCTTTGATGCGGCACCTGCGCCGGCACAGCTACAGCCAGTCGAATGAGACCCCATGGAGAAGCGCGGCCATGTGCACCTCTACCTTCACGTAGGAATCCCCAAGAGCCGCTTGTAGGCGCCAGCAGCTACGATGGGACAAGACGCGCGCGCAGTAGCTCTGGGGCTGACAGCTCCACTGGCCCTCCGCGCGTCGAAGGACGTCGCGGGCGAGAGGGGGGCGGCGCCGCGCCGCCTCCTCCCCCGCCTCCAGCGGAAGCGCGGCCACGTGCAAGGTTAGTTGATTGGGCAAGCTTTGACGTTCAGATAAGCCTTCAAAGCCTACGGAGTTTCGACCCGACCACCGTGCTGAAGGAGCTGCGAAAGCTCCATTTACGCTGGTATCAGGCATCCGAACCAAAGATGCGCACTATACTGTCTCGCGCAGGAACTAATGTTGTACGACTGGACAAGATAAAAGGTGCAGTCGATTCGCGCCGCGAGTGCAAAGCTTGGGAGAGACCGGGTAAAGCGGTCATGCCTTCGATAAGTCCCTAGCAAATTCAAGGACGAAGTCGAGTGTGATTTGATGATCTACGAACAACATTGCGTTTCGCATCGTCGACCGATGCATTCGGTGGGCTGCAGGCCAAGAAATTGCCGACTGGACGATGCATGCGATATTAGATGCCACCCGCAACTGTTGGATGCAACGCGGTCGAGCTACAGCGTTGTGCTCCGACGGCGAAGGGGCTCGGAACCATGATGCTGCCAAATCTATCCTGAAGGAAGAGGACGCGTAACTTCGCTTTCGTGCTCGAGGCCAGCATGCCACCGCCACCGACGCACGCAACAGCATCTTAAGACGCACTATACATGCTATGGAAGAACTTAAACGACACAGCGTACCATTGGGTTTTACACGACTACTGCACGAAGGCCTATTTGTCTGCAGTGCTTTTAGGTTCTACAACGGCGCATCTCATTGCCAGGCACTGCACGGGCGACGACCGGCCTGTTTACCAGACCTGCCGGCACTGGACCACCAACGGGGGGCGAAAATTTCTGATCACAACCGAGAACACATAGCCCGAGAAATAAGCGTTGAGGCCATCACACAAGCCACTGCAGTAGCCAAAACCAATGGGGCCCTACGCGCGAAAAACGACAGCGGCGGGACACCATAAGTATCAGCCAGGGGATCTCGTGGATTTCCATCGTCCGACCACGACCAGGACGATGGGGGAGGTTGGAACGGACCATGCCCCATCGCTCGTAACTGCCCTGACCGTGGTCAAGCCGTAGTGCAAGATGGAGGTCGGGCAGTCGTGGCACAATACCCAGATTTACGACACACACATAACATATCGAAGTACGAATGGTCCGCGAGAGAGGCTCGGATCCTACGGCCATGCGAACAGTATTGAGGGGTTGTTGGGTGCCGTTTGTCCGCGGATGTCACGCTGCTCCCAGGGATCCTGCATTACAGCACCCTCCGAACACTAAGCTACGAGCACTTTCGGGAGATGGCAAGGGGGAAGAGGGACTCGACCCCTGGCGCGGGCGGCATCGCATATAGCGCTTGGAGGAGTGGAGGAAAACGCGTTTTGGATCCAATTTCGCCCTCGTGAGCACATTCTACGAGGCGGGGGGGTGGGGGGGAACTTGAATGAAGCTCTGCGTCTTTTCTCTCCTGAAGGAGAGGATCTTGATGGCGGGCCAGGGAAGGTCGGAGGGGGCTGCTCGGATTTGTCCGCTTGCGTTATCTAGCGTGGGCAAAGAGCATTTTTTTTCTTGCGCGACCGCATTTTGTCTCGCACCCAGTGAACCTCGCAGTAAACAAGATCCAGAACGGGTTCCTGGCGGAAAGAGTATGGTTGGCCGCGTCATCGCTCTCGGCTCTCAGATGATGATATGGCAGGATGCAGAACTATAGTCACGCTGGCGCTGCATTTTTTGACATCGGGGCAGCACTCTCATCGCTCGCGCACCAGTGCGCGTTTTCCTGCCTGGAGAGGATTATTCCCCCGCGCGGCGTGCTTCGCGCCGTCGAGCAGCTGCGATGGAGTGTTGAGGGCTTATGTGGACTTCCGTGGGAGCTCGCGTCTGTTATTCGAGATTTTCCGAGGGATCGGGCAGGGGTGTCCTTTCAGCGGGGTTATATGCGCTGTCATGCTTGTCCCGACGATGCGGTACCTAGCTCATCACCTTCCTCAGCCTGGGCCAAGTGGTTCACCCTGTGGGTTCGCGAACGACGTGGCTCGCATGTCGCAGTGCCTTTGTTCGGGCCCCCCCCAGGGCACATCAAAATTTTTTGTTCCTAGGGAGGTTCGCTGGGCTCATCAATCACCCTGGTGAAACTCACTTGGTGTTCATGGGTTGCAAATCAAATGATGATATCGTGGGAAGGGGAAAACGTCGGCCTGACTGCAAGGAAGTGTCGGAGCACCAACAGCGCGAGGTACTTGGGGACCATGCCGGGGTCGGACTCTTTTCAGGCTTGCTGGAAGAACCTAGTCGCAGCGTTCAGGACGCGTGCCAGACGAGTTCGCAACATGTTTTTGCCCTTCTCGCTCCACGTCCTTACCTATAATACCTCCGCGTTCCCAGTCCTCTCCGTCGTCTCTGGGATGAAAGTGATCGCCCCTTTGGCAGTGAAACTCAGCATGATGCGACTCAGGTGTTGACGATGGGCCCATGTAGTGCAATGTCGCAAGGCTTGATGTTTCAACTCAAGGAAGCATGATTCCCGCGCGGATGTAGTGACATCCGGACCTGGAGCAGGGCGGCTGCATGCAGGACGGGAATGAAGAGCTCGATCATCGGCTGGTGACGAGATGAGCTAGATGAGATTGTTGAGAGTTGTGATATTGGTTTGCATGGGAAGGCCACCTTCTGCAATCTCAATCCGTCCTCAAGCACCTCATGGAAACGGTGGTCAGTATCCAAAGCCTCCTGAGGGCCCCGCTTGATCCTGGAGCCCGTAACATCCAGGCTCTGGCCAAGAAAACCATCCAGGCTGCTGAACCCACCTGTCTCCAAAGTAACCGCGTGGCTCCCCGTCCTCAGAAGAGGATTCCAGGCATCACGGATGCCGACATTCTTTTGACGACCATGAGTTCCAGGATCGTCGGCAAACATTCGCTCCCATTCGTGCTCGCTCCGTCCTCAAAACATGGTTCAACGCGTGGAGTGCTTCCAACAAGTATAGAGTTGACAGTGGTGTCTGTCTATGCAGGCATATGGCGATGGGGGGAGACTGTGGAACACTACCTTCTATGTCCTAAGATTTCATATGTGATGGCCTCCGTTTCCCTTCTTCCGAGGTCATGGGGTTCGGGCGAGCCTGAACATCGGTTTGTTGTCCCTAGTCTTGGGTCTTTCTTCCACGGCTGACTTAAGTCGTTTTGCCGTAGCCATTGAAATAATGTTCAGCGTATTTAACACCTTGAGAGCGGGTGAGAGTTGTATTGTTACGATAAAGCAGTTGGTATAGGCCAGGGCCCGTGCAATCGCACGGCGGCAGTCAGGCTACGCCACGCTGCTCTTCCGTGGACAGTCGGTGGACCCCCCCCCTCGTGATGCATCGTGGCTCCTCTCCTCCTAGCCTTTTACGTGTCTCGCATTGCTTGTATCCAGACACAGCAGATTGTCGAGGCCACGGCCTCATCCACCTGGTTCGCGCTAGGTGCGGACACTGTCCGCAAAGGTGGTCGCATCGCTTCGCATCGCACTTTTTCCCCTCAGCCCCACTCTCACCGTCACCTTCCTTATCCCCCTCTCCCCTCTTTTCCCTTCCGGGCTTCTCCCCGTCACCATGCCCCTTCCTTCCCGTCCCCCCTCTCCCCCTCGCCTCCCTCTCTTTGTCCCCCCTTGGTCCCCGCTCTGCGCCGCGGTCCCGCCGCCCTCCGCCGCGGCAGGTGCGTTGCCAGCTGCCAGCCGGTGCCCGGCCGCACGGGGGGTGAGACCCCTGGACGGACCAGGCGCGGGGTCAGGGGCAGCGTCACGGGGCATTGGCCCCGGGAGGAACGCATCGATCCCGAAGCGTCCATTCATCGCGAATCTTCGAGGAAGCGCAGGCAAGGGTAGAGGCGCGTGGAGTAGCGACCGGTCCCGCTTCCGTGCAGAGATGGCCTGCGCGGAAGATCCACGGAGCCGTCACCCATGCCAGCGCGCGCCTGAAATCACGGCTTGGATGCCCCACCCCGCCCAGGAACGTGGTGCTGTGCTGTCGGGGGCCTATCGCCGATCTATTGGCAATGTGCCGCAGATTCCAAGCCACTTCCCTCCTGACGTTTCCCCTCAGGCCTGCCCGCCCCCGCTTGGGCGCGCGTGTCGGGAAGTTCGCTTATTAGAGGAGGGGAATTCGTGCAGATCTGGGCGCAGCGAAGGGATCGCGACGGCTGGTATTCCCACGCTCCTGGCCTCTGGACGCCTTAGAAAAACGGGTCAGCGCGAAACGCCAGCCCTGGGGAAGGGGCCGAGATCTCCGGAGGGGGGTCTTGGATAGGTTTCCCAACTTTCGCTTGAGTTTTCGATTTGAATTGAGCATCGCGGTCTCCAGCCATCCTTTTCCCGCCTCCCTTCTGCTCTGCCCTCCTTCCTTCTCTCTCCTCCTTTCTTCCTACTACCTCCTGCTCCTCTCTTCTCTTGACTCCTGTCTCCTACTTTCTGCCTACCTCATACCTGCCGCTTACCTCGTCACCTCTGGGGGGCTGCGAAGTGTGAAGCTGTCGCCACTTTCGAGGGCCCCTCGGGGGGGGGCAGCACAGCGGCGTCCTACGCGGAGGCAGACTTGACCTCGCTATTCTTTGGGGGGCTGCCACGTGTGAAGCCGTCGCCACTTTCGAGGGCTGTTGGGGGTGGACGGGGCAGCACAGTGTTGTTTTGCGCTGATTCAGACTTGACCTCGCCATCCCTGCTGGGCTGCGAGGTGTGAAGGTGTTGACACTTCCGCGGGCTGCTGCCTTGCCAGCGGCCCTGCCGCTGCTCATGGGTGAGAGTTGAACGTTGCCCCCTCCCTTCTTCCTCCTTGGTCGTCGTCCTTTTCGTCCTCGCCCTTCCTCCTGCTGCTGCTGCTGCTGCTGCTTCGACGACATATCGCCCTCCCCTGATCCTCCGTCTCCGCTTCGATCCCGCCCCTCTCCCCTTCGGACATAGGGCCTACCTCCGTCCATCCCGGTGTCGCCATCCTATCGGTGGCTTGTGAGTCCCGCAGCGCGTGAAACATCCATGTAGCTCTCACAGGGTATTCTGGTCCTTGTCACGTCATCATCCGTACTACGGTAGGCCAGTTGTCGAGATAAGCTCAGTGGGCATGCGCTGTTGATGTTTGGTATGACAAACCCACGCGGGTGACACCTGTCACCCGCCGGCATCTATCATTGAATTGTGCAACTGGGTTACACTGAGCAGTCTGAGAGAAACTTGCACTGTGAGCGCTGCCGCGTGGATAGTGTGAACGCCTGAGCGGGTGACCTTGGTCATCATCGCTCACCGCGGGGTGCGATGCGCGAAGTTAGGTTTTTGGGCTTTTGGGAGGCAGCGCCCGCCCAATCCCAGGGGGGGTGATAACAGGGTGGTTCGGGGCTCCCCCCTCGCGCGGACAGCAACGCTGTACAGCAGGGAGCGGAAAGTAGCACAAATAGCATTGGAAACTGGCAGCTGGACCTAGCGCAGGACGGAGGAAACCTCAGCCACGCAGCCTGGTGGCCCCACAAAGGGGCCATCGGACTTGCTGTTCAAGCTGTTTCGCTTCCTGCGGCCGCGCTGTAGGCCTCCGCAGGCCTCTCCAGGAGAGGTCCTTCAGAATTCTCGGGGCAGCTTGAAGAGGTGTTGTAGCCTTCGGTGTGCTGTCTTCGGGCGATCTTGGGGCGTGTGGCGGCCGCTCTAGGACGGCCTTAGGCTTTCTTGGTGCCGCCTGGAAGCTGAAAGGGACGCCGAATCGCGAAATCTGGGACTGCGATTTTCGGAGGACGATTGGGGTGCAGGGGGGTGGGGCGCTCTGAATGAGGATTCGTAGGGGCATGTGCATAACGAGCATAGCGAGCGTGCCGGCGGCGTCTGGCTCAAGACGCCAGCGCCCTACTTGCGCAAATTGACTGACATTCCTACAACCACATGGTCCTCAACCTGCTTTTTACTTGGTAGCAGAGCTGGTCCCACTAAGTTGTGGTCAGCCCTGTCTATCGCAATACTTATACACGGCACGGCTTGGTATGCCGCCGGCGCCACTGCGACGTCAGAGTGTGGCTACTGGCAAACAGGCGGAAATGCCTTGGACACGCTAAATCCGCTATGGGCGACATCCGCCTGACCATTCCGAAAAGCGTATACGCCCCAGCTTAACGCCACTTCGCCCCAACGTACGACGAGCTTGGGAACAAACTAAGGTACCAGTTTCCACTACGCGGAAGCGCGAACCCCATACTCTTGAACCAACATGGGGATACGCCTCCACACCGAACCCGCCGCCGAACGGCGATGGGCACTCCGAAGACGACTCATGATAGGCTCAGGGTTCCGCACGGCACCGTTATTTACAGCGCATTACCTTCAGCATTGGTTGGTGGGTCATTGGAAATGTGATAATATGCATGCAACGCGGTAGCCATAATAATGGAGGCGGCCATGCAACATGGGGCCCATACTGGGACCCTTCAGGGAACTTATCATTCCTCGAGTTTACTAGTGAAGTACATGCGTGGCTGAACGTTGCGATCGCACGCGTGACCCCGCAACTGCGAGGCGCGCGCTTGCAGCGCGGTCTGGGCAGCGTGGCGCGCGCAATTGCGATGCGAATCCCTTCTCTGGTCACCAACTACGGCGCAACGACGCAAGGTGCCCGCGCGGACCCCGCCACGGACACCATGTTTCACCTGGGCGCCAAAGTCGAGAACGTTGAGGATGAGCGACGGCTCACCGCAGTGACGGCGCTTATAGACTTCAGGCCCGAGCCAGGTGAGAGAACGGACTCTTTCTTCGCCTGGTTCGAAATGGCCCGTCTTGAGGCTGACTCAGTCGGCTCTGCCATTCCGAACTTCCAGCTACTCACAACAGTGCTCTTCAGAGCCCTAAGGTTCGGCCCTGGCAGGGCTGCTCACATGCATCAGCCTCTCGACAGTCAGATGCTGCGGACTCGGTAACAGTGTGGCGAATTGCTGGACCGCGCGCGTAGCTTCGGCCATCTGGCTGAACGCGCCACCGGCAACGTCGGAGACGCGTTGCCGGGGGGCGCAGGGCGCGGAAACGCGAACGCATGCGCGACGAGCGCCAGCGGAGACGCGACCGCGCTCAGCAACGCGCGGGCCGACGACCCGCGCGACCCCGAGGGGGCCGCCGCATTGCTATCGACGGCCCCTCAGGGTCAATGGACTGGCAAAAGATGCCCGACGCCGTCAACGCAGCGAAGCTGGGGGCAGCCATCCACCCCGCAAGCGCACGCGGCCCTTAGCCAGGCTGCCCTATGGGGCGCAACCTTCTTCTCAGAGCCAGTGCGATTCTATGGCTCTGGGGAAGGGGGTGGAAGGCGACGCGGCTTTTTTTGGACGGCTCAAGAAACGGTCGAGGGCGCGGGGCGCGTCGATTGGCCCGACGCCGATTGCCAGCCCCCAGGCGCCTTTCTTACATGCGTCGATTTGCGCCGAGAGGTGATGGCTCGCGCGTTTGACGACATGCTTTCCAACTTTTGGCGGAGATGCATCGGCGCGCGACGGGGGTGTCTGCGGGGCCGAAGCGACCGCTGCTGCGCCGGCCGAGCTACAGGGCGCCGGCTTGCCCAGCATCGCGGAAACGCACGAGGAGACGCCCGCGGCAGAGTCGGTCATGCCGACGGGGGCGGACGCACTGCGTGGAAACACGCCGAGGCAGAGGATCGGGCCTGCGACTACTACCACGCCCGAAGACCTCATTAACGTTGGGTGGGGCATGGCCAGTTTCAACGCCTGCGCGACATGCTGCGCCCCGCGGGGCCGTTCTCGCGGCCCCGCGGGGGCGCCGCCCGATTGCGGCGGCCCCCGCGCGTGCAGTTCTCGCGCGGACATGGGCTGCTGCACCAAGCGCGGCTGGAGTGTAGCCCAGATCCGCGACTGGCACGCAGGGGCGACGGAGGAGGAATCGCGCGCTTCTCCGCGGGACTGCTCGCCCGCTGACGCCTGGGGGGGCGGGGGGGCCAGGCGGGAACGCGTTGCTCCGCGCAGAAACTACCGCACTTGCGCATGCTATGGGCGGCAATATCACGTCCCGAATTGCCTTGTGAACTGGGGGGTCGGCCCCCTGATCGAGGCGTCGATCGCGCCGCCCATGCCGCGCCGGCGACGGCGCGGGTGCCGCGCGGCCTGCGCCCTCGGAGGCCCGCCGCACCTCAGCTCTGCGGCGAGACGGGGCGCGCCGACGCCGCTCGGCGCTGGGCCGACCTTTCCGACCACCGCGAGCTGAAGAGGTGCAACTTCCAATCCCACGAGAGCGATGGAGAGGCAGGCGGAGACGCTGAAGGCGGCGGCGGAAACGCCGAAGAAACCGAAATGGGCACAGCTGGCGCCGACCAGAGCGGAAACGCCACCAGTGCTCCAGTCCAGGGGCGGCCGCCTCATCGGGGGGATGCGGAGGCGTCGCCCCCCAGCTCGACGGGCTCGGCCAGACGGAAGGCCAGCCTAGAGAGGGGGCGCGCCAGCCAGGGGGGGGGCAGAGAAGCGCTCCAAGGGCGCTGGGGGCCCAGTGGACATGCCCCCCACCCCCTCTCCCGAGCGCGCCGACAATGCCGACGACTTTGAGTCAGAAGCTGTCATTTCGCCCCAAGGCCCTCGCAGTAAGGGTGGCGCGCGATCGGGGGATATCCTGCTGCTCACTGCGAAGTACCGAGCCAAATCCGCAGGTTTGGAGAGGCCCGCGCTGGAACCGACACCGAAGGCATATCTCGCCGACGCGCGGAGGCGCTCACGGGGGCCTATAGGCGGCAGCCGCCGCCGCCATGTTCAGCGGCACA